ACTCGCCAGTATCCGGATAGTTTCTATATAAATACACTATACAGAGCTAGTTTAATTAGAAGGAAAAAAAGTTTCTAGCATTCCTCCACAATAAGCCAAATCCACTGTAGCGGAGGTCCACTATAAAGAGAGTCACTGTGTACAATACTGACTCAATTAGTGGCTGTGGTCATGCGACTGCGTCATCACTGACTCACAGGCATGTGTAATTGCACAATAATCAAAATATTTGATTGATTAAGATGCATGACGTAATGTGTACCATCTGCATGTTAAAAACGCTTCTCTGGAAAAAATTACACCTCGCTCAACAACGGAGACTACGTAAGATTAGTTTTAAAGCAAATGTCTTACACAAACGTAGGAAGAGTTAAAAATAATGTTATTGACACAGCGTAAAGAGCAAATTCGACCGCTATAAAACGTTAGCAAAGTAAGTAAAGCAATGTATGTTATCATAATTAAAAAAAGATGATGAGCCTCTGTTTAGCACTCTTATAATAATAAGCATGACTGCATTAGAATTAAGCAGTTATATACTAGTGAGAATTCTTTTCCAGTTATGACTTATGCTGGTGCATATATACAGCGAAAAAGCCGGCTGGCTGATTGCGGGTTACTTGCGCAAGAAATGTTGTTGATGTGGGATTTTATATTAACCCGCTTTATATTTAGATTTATAAATTCAACGAGTTCAACCCACCGAACGAAAGGATAGTGAAAAAGCGTCGCTTTCGCAGGAGGAGAAAATTAACGGCTTACACAAGCTAGCGGAGAACGAACGCAACAAATGGATGTCGCTGAAACTCAAATGGCGAATCGTAAGCTTTACGTATTAAGAAGAGTTGAAATGAAGTTATTGATATAATACGTTAGCAAAGTAAGTAAAGCGATGTATTTTATTATAATTGAAAAAGATGATGAGCCTCTGTTTAGCACTCTTATAATAATAAGCATAAATGCATTAGAATTAAGCAGTTATATACTAGTGAGAATTCTTTTCCAGTTATGACTTATGCTGGTGCATATATACAGCGAAAAAGCCGGCTGGCTGATTGCGGGTTACTTGCGCAAGAAATATTGTTGATGTGGGATTTTATATTAACCCGCTTTATACTTAGATTTACAATTTTCGCCAAGTTCAAGAAGTTTAACCCACTGAATAGAAGATGGTGAAAAAAGTAATCGAACGCGTCGCTTTCGCAGAAGGAAAAAATTGACGGCTTAGACGAGCTAGTAAAGACAAACGCAAAGAACGGATGTAGTTGAAAACCAAATGGGCGAATTGTAAGTTTACCCAACAAAACGTATTAAGAAGAGTTGAAAACAAAGTTATTAGTACGGAGCATAGAGAGCAAATTCGATCATTACAAAGTAAGTATTTTATTATAATTAAAAAAAGATATGAACCTCTGTTTAGCACTTATAATAATAAGCATGATGGGATTGAAATTAAGCAGTTATATACGAGTGAGAATTTTTTTTGTTATGATTTATGCTGGTGCATATATACAGCTGGTTGATTGCGGGTTACTTGCGCGCAAGAAATGTTATTGATATGGGATTTTATATTAACCCGCTTTATATTTAGATTTACAATTCTTGCCCACATTCAAGAAGCTTAGCCCACCGAATAATGGATGGTGAAGAAGCAATCAAACGCGTCGCTTTTGCAGGAAGAGAAAATTAACGGTTAGTAGCGAAGAAACGCAGTGAATGAATGTTGTTGAAAATCAAATGGCGAATCGTAAGTTTACCCAACGAATTGTCCCTTATTAACACTATTAATTGATGATTGTTTCCTAACATGTGAGGAGATCAGTCCATCGGTGAATATTGAGTTTCTTAGCTTTTCCCTTCTCTGCCTTTGATTCTAATTCTATTTTAGCTGGCTTCAATTATGCGCAAGAATACACCAAGAAATGAAAGGGAAAGAAGTAATTCAGACACAAGATTGATCTTATTTTTCATGTAGATGATATGGAATATTTTGGCGCAGAAACATTCATCAATGAGGAATCCCCATAATTCAAAGCTGATTTCTTACAAGTACAAGCTGTTTAAGGAAATGAAAGATCAGTTGGATAGTCTATTGAATAGTCTATCTGTCTCACTAACAATGACTTTGCCCAATTTCCGCGTATTCTATGCTCATACTGCTCGCGCTTACTATATTCCTATTCAACAAATGATAGTTAAAAATGAAACCATTAGATATCCTTTCGAATTATCTTACCCCAAATACTTCTTATGACACATCCCAATGATTCAACAAAATTGCAGTTTGCAGCTGCAGATCTAATCCCGATGACCGATTGAGTTGCATCAATACCTGCATGTATCGACCATGCAAAGAGAAAATATGTCTTTCCTGTTTATCTTCAGACCGACTTAGAAGAGATGCAAAGCCGTTTGTCGAATATCATAGTTTAACAGGCAAATAGGACTCTCCAAAAGCCGAAGAGCGTCAACTCGCTATTCGGGTATGCTAGGTGCTTTCTTACAACAAACAGACTTCGCAACCGTTGGTATCATCCATCATTACACTATGTATGTGAATGCTTGCAAAATAACTTAGTTGCCTATCATTCTCTGGCTTCATGTTTACTCGAACAGTCTTCGGTTAATCTATCAACAATGTGGCCACAAGCGATATACATCCCTGAAGATAATAATACCTGTTCCCTCCTACTCCCACCAACAATAACAATGCTTTTGACATACGGAAAATACATAAAGACTAGTAAGATATGATGCTCGCTTCAGACTTCATATAATGTGGTCTTATATGCATTTGGAAAAAATTCAAAATTTCCAAAACCTGCACGAATACGCCATCAGCGTTCTGCTGACATTACGTCTTCCCAGTCCTCCGCTGATCAAATAATTATTGATGAAGATAATCAATACCGTGACCAACTTTTATACGTACAGGTGACTCTTACTTTAGAGAAAAAGAGCATCCTTTAAATGCAATGGTAAAGGCTAAATGTTTACCCTTCTCTATTTGTTACTCTATCTAAATGGAACCGCTTAAAAGAAATTCTACTCAAACATACATGACGAATCAGAATGAATAACCTTATCTGTCGATTCCTTAAAACGTTATATTCTATATCTTTTAAATACAACTAACCTGTGTATAACGCTCACAACACTTAAAACGTTTGAATACAAAGTTTCTAGTACAATCGTTGACTTTATATCTGGTAGTATGAACTGTTCTGTAACTGCCGGATCCGATCTCGTCAATTTCATCAAAAATCGACATTCTGAATATATTTAGACCGGCAATATTATATGATTCTGTCCAATACCATGATAGAAATCCAAGTAATATGCTCAAGTGATTCAAACATTATCAGGTGAGTATTCCCGAGTTGGCTACAATACAATCAATAAAACAATCACACAAGTGATACTATTTATTGCATTATTTTTTATGCAAAATGACTTACCTGATCCCAAACCAAGGACTCTATCGGCTTGAGTAACTTGTATCGCCTCACGTCTACTAATATGCTATATCCAAGTAATACCGATATTATCTTATTAAAACATTGATAGCATGATAGATGTTGTCAATTCGAGTTGGTCTTATGTCTGTTGCTTTGCGAGTGAGAAATCCATTAAAGTACACTTTCTGAGGAGTTTTGAATCAAGTCGTTTGAACGACATGTTTTGTTCAAGCGAAAAGCACTATTTTGGTCATGTTACACGCGAAGATTCCGATAATGTAGCACAACTTAAATCCCATTTCGTTGTGATATCGTTAAGGTCCCTATAGCATACAATTGATACCAACAACGTTTTGCGCACTATTATAACCGTATACGATAAGTTTATTTGTTTTGGTTAAATATATATTGAATACTACACAGCAGAAGATCCTATTCATTCATATTACATTATATTCACTCGCTTATCATAGATTGCGCTCTAGAAAGCTTAAATGCCAGGCAAACGATGAACAGTATGCGCTGATATAGAACGAAAAGCCTTAACCAATAAACCTTTACCCTCTAGGAAGAAAGGAAAAAAGAATTGACGAACAGCAAGTAAACGCAATGTCAACAAATCTCACGGATCAATTTAGTGCTAGAATAATAGTAGTAGTAGTATAGTAGAGAGTTAGAGAATGAATGACGGGAACTTCCTCCGAGCGCAGTTCTTTACTACGACCATATAGAGCTAGGAGACCTGAAAGCAACCCATTTCCGTTCGCCTATAAAGATTATACTGTCTAAAAATAAAACCTAAAGTAAATAGTTTCACCGTGTAACATATTAATGGAGCCAATAAAGGATAAACAATAAAGGATAAATAATAAAGGATAAATAAATGATGTCAGCGAAAATACTTCGCTTATTTATTAATCGCTAACGTTATGAATTCTAGCTCAACAAGCGGCTATGCACCAGACAACGTCCTCACAGCGAGTGCTCTTAATGTTTCCTCTATTACTATGTCAACTTCTATGTCAAAACGAAGCAATTCTATTACTCAAGGCACTTTTCCTAAAACTATACTTCAATTGATGGAACGGGGCCTTATGTCAGCGGATGAGCAAATAACGGAACTGTTAGTAAACTTGCAATATGCTCAGAATATTTATGCCCTTAAATACACTTTTGAACATAAAGGAAATTCTGTCTCAGTAGATGTGTTAAACACAGCTTTGAAGAGTTTATGTTCTCAAGAATTTGGCGGTATTAATATGTTTTCGGGGGAAACGATTATTAAATTGGAATGGCAATTACGAATTATTGTAACTATATTGGAACAGATGCATCGTAATGGGTGTCAGTTTACAGGCCGTTTTCTTGATGATATTCAACAATGCATTTCCACTTATAAAAATACACATTCAATGATTAAACATCATAGAGGAGAAATTTGGAAAACTAAATGCACAGGGTCTAATGAATCGGACAAAAGCATCAAGAGCTTTAAATGTAATTACAATATTGACTACCTTCTCAACCTCATAAAGAATACTACTTGCAATGAACAAAACCAGTATCAGACGAGTATTGATCGGGCTATTGCAGCATTAAAAGGTTTACTTGTTTTAGTCCCTGGATTGGTTAAAGTTGGGATTAAATTAATTACAAGTGTTGATGTCCCTCTTGGTGATTTTAATATAGAAAGATCCTGGAAATATTTTAAAGAAGCTTTCCATATTGAACCCTCAGGCAAGCCTTGGTATACAACCTGGAGACAGCTCATAATATTACAAGATAGCCTTGATGAATGGTATCAACAAAAAGAGTCTAACATTTCAATAAACTTTAAAGAAAGAGTGCTTCTCGAGTATCTCTGGTATAATACCAGTTTGTGCTATGCTGAAAATGCTGCAGAGAACCAGGATGTTAGTGATGAACTCTGGTTTGGCATTTTAGATATTATCCAACAGCTTATCTGGAAAACATTTTCTGTGACTACACAGGCTATTTGTTATTACATAGCATTAGACTCATTGAATAATGCTGTCAATGAACTTATTCAATTCAAATCCATTGAAGTGTTACTGAGTCTTGAAGCCAAGAATAGTGAATTATTTGTTACAACACCTGATGATATTTCTGATTGTGATGAGAAACATATACCAAAATTAGTTAGCATGTATTATTACCTGAGAGGGAAATTAGAAGTTGAATCAAATATGATTCTAAAGTATACACCAGATAAAATAGTGGTAATTGCAGAAAATGAGAAACAACAAGACAAAGGAAAAGGAAAGGGAAAAGGCATTGAGAGAAATCCAGTTGACTATATTGCAGAAGACCTAACATGTGCTATTGTATGTGAAACAGTGAGTGGCTTTTACCAATTTAGTTGTCAGCATATTATTAGCTCAAAAGCTTTGTTATCATTAAACAACCCAGAATGCCCTTATTGCAGAAGTGAAATTAAGAGAAATAAAGTGTATTATATGCCACAGCAAACTATATATAACAACATTCAGCAGTATCTTACAGACACTGATTATCAAGATATTCATAATACTTATACTGGAAGCAATACAGATTCAATGATATTTGATGAGTGTAATGACCTTAAAAGACAGAAAATCAAGGACAAAGTGAGAAAATATAATTCAGAATCCAACTGGAGTAACTGGAGTTCAATTTGGAAATCATTAACAGTACCAAATGTAGAAAAGTTGTTTCAAAAAGCTAATACTGCATACAAAAAGAAGAAGTTAGAAAAGGCAGTTAAATTGTATCAAAAAGCAGCAGAGCATGGACATGCTCAAGCACAAAATCTTCTTGGTAAGTGTTATGAGAATGGAATGGGAGTAGAAAAAAATGAACAAAAGGCACTTGAATGGTATCAAAAAGCAACTAAACAAGGATATGCTCAAGCACAATATAATCTTGGTTATTGTTATGATATTGGAATTGGAGTAGAAAAAAATGAGCAAAAGGCAGCTGAATGGTGTCAAAGAGCTGCTGAACAAGGATATGCTCAGGCACAACTTAATCTTGGTGCATGCTATAATATTGGATATGGAGTAGAAAAAAATGAACAAAAGGCAGTTGAATGGTGTCAAAGAGCTGCTGAACAAGGATATGCTCAAGCACAATGTAGTCTTGGTTATTGTTATCAGTATGGAACTGGAGTAAGAAAAAATGAGCAAAAGGCAGTTGAAATGTATCAAAAAGCAGCTGAACAAGGATATGCTCAAGCACAATATAATCTTGGTAGGTGTTATAAAAATGGAAGAGGGGTAGAAAAACATGAACAAAGAGCAGTTGAATGGTATGAAAAAGCTGCTGAACAAGGATATGCTCAAGCACAATTTAAGCTTGGTGTGTGTTATGAGGATGGAACTGGAGTAGAAAAAGATGAACAAGAGGCTGCTGAATGTTATCAAAAAGCAGCTGAACAAGGATATGCTCAAGCACAATTTAATCTTGGTCTGTGTTATGATAATGGAACTGGAGTAGGAAAAAATGAGCAAAAGGCAGTTGAATGGTATCAAAAAGCTGCTGAACAGGGATATGCTAAGGCACAATTTAATTTTGGTGTGTGTTATGATAATGGGACTGGAGTAGAAAAAGATGAACAAAGAGCAGTTGAATGGTATCAAAAAGCTGCTGAACAAGGGCTTGCTCAAGCACAATTTAAGCTTGGTTGGTGTTATGATAATGGGACTGGAGTAGAAAAAAATGAGCAAAAGGCAGTTGAATGGTATCAAAAAGCTGCTGAACAAGGATGTGTTAGGAATAGAAAGAATGTAGTTAATTATTTGAGAAAATGGTGATAATGTAACAAGCGCGATTTTGTGGCGTAGAAAAGGTAACGCGATTTAGTGACAGCAAAATGTATATAAGCAGCTCTTCCTGACCCGTTTAAAATCCTCATATTGTATGTTCATTGATGTTGTAAAACAATATTCGATACTGAAGTATTCGGATATAATAAACGATTAATCCTGATCATTATCGTTTAATTATTACGAAACTTTTTATTTTATTATTCTATTTCTATCGTCGCTGATACTAGTTTTTGACAATTTAAAGCTATCTGCAGTAAAGCAGTTCTGACCCGTAGCTGCGTTAAGATAGTTGTCAATGCAATAGATCGGTTTCGACCCGTAGTTATGATAAAGACTAGAGATTTCTAAACAATAATTCAATTATTTATTGTTTAATTAAAAAAAGTGACATTTCCCGACTAGTCGAAACACACTAAATCGAAGACCGCCCTATTTAAAAATAGTATTGAATTTCCCCTTCGATTCTGCGATAGTTTAATTGCTGTTGTTATTCTATTGTAGATACTCTTATTTAGATACGAGTATAGTAATAGAGAAATATGTCGTATGGGGAGTAAAAGCGAAGTGCGCACATAAATAATTATTGTCACTTATCAGTTTAGTTCAGCCTTAAGTGAGCAATCGTTGTAGAAAGGGCAGCGGCACGAGCTAAATTGTGAAACCCCTCTCGGCAGAACACACCTACGCAATTTAATTGCTCTCCCAACCCAAATTTGGACGCCGACCGTAACAGTTGGGCCTCCAGAAGGAAGGAAAAACAACCGTTTGTGACGTCATGCTCCATTATGACAACGTTGCGTCGCTGTATGGCGAAGTATTTTCATGATGAACTAGAACGAGTGAAACTTTCTTCTCCCTACTTGCCATACAGTCCAGAATGTCTTGTAATTTTGTTTATTACTCGAATAAAGAAACAACTGACGGAAAAAAATTTTGATAAAGTCGAAAATTTGACAAAAGTCAGGCAGTTGCTGAAATTGTCTCAAAAGTTAACTATGAGAAGACTTTCCAGCGTTAGCAGAATTGTCTGCGTGAATATTAATTTAAAAAAATATTATAAATTTATCAATAAATGGAATTCAATTATCTTTCTCAGCAATAATAATTAAATAAATTGGCTTTTAGATTTACGTGCGTACAGCGTATGATGTCACGGGAGAGCGTGACTCAGAATTAGTTACTCTCGAGCAGAGTGTGGCTGATCTAGTCGTGGTTAAATAAACAGTTAATGCCTTTATTTAGCGCTGTCGATGCGCAGACATCATCTGTCCGCTGTCCATTTAAAAGTAAAAGCTGCATAGGGTATCTGGTTGGTCGAAACACTATCGGTGAAGTTCGCGTTGTTAAATCATCGTCGAAAAAGCAATTGGACAATAGAAATGGTTGTATCATTGTATATGTGGCCTCTTCCGATTACCACAAATTTACAAAGCGCATCATTCAATACACTCAATATTTTTATACCAATAACAAGAATTGCGCACGTGTGCGTGCACAATTTCGATACAAAACCGTTTTTCCATAAACATACGTAATACGGAGAGCCTCGCTTGCTTTCCCTTGACAAAGCAACCATTTATTGACTGATACAAATAAACAAATAGAGTAAACTCATATAGTTGAGTCTCTATATTTAAATAATGCACTGATCTTTCTTTCAACCATATTTTCCTTTATTTAGAAACTCATATAAATCCTTGAACAAATTCGTGTAATACTGGTTTAGTCAAAATTTTGAGTGCCTAAATTATAAGACATAGACATGGATTAGTATTAGGTAAATCGATTTTATCTAACATTAACATGAAACTGTTTGCTGATTAAATTAACTTTTTTTTGGCTAAAACATACTCACCATTGGATAGGGGTGGGTTTGCATTGTTATGATAGATAGTGTTCCATATGTCGCTGTCAGAATTATTCTTGTTTATCTTGGAAAGAAATCCGTAAACCTTATCCAAAAGTATCCCACTATTTGGGCGCTTATCGGAATCAATATCACAACATTGCTCAGCAAGCTCTTGATATTCCTTTGGTGCAGAATCAAGCATTGCTGGTCGTAGTCCATCCATAATATCACATGTAAAACTTCTATTAAATTCTCTATCATTAAATGATGGTTTACCAGTGGCTATCAAATACATAATAATACCAAAAGAATATATGTCCGATTTCTGAGTAAATTTACGGGTACAAAGGGCTTCTGGTGCAATAAAGGGTAAAGCACCTCGAATGGTCAATTTTTGTTGATGTGAATTCACTGATTGTGAGCAAGCAAAATTGCAAATATATAATCCTATACTATTACTATTATAATTACTATAACCATAGTCATGCGTAAGAATATTTCCACCATGGAGATCACAGTGTACTAATCCATTTAAATGAATACGATGCAGACCATGTGCAATATTATATAACCACCCCAATTTGATCTTCCATGTCAATTTGTTGATATTTTGATCCAAATAAGACAAAAGACTGCCATTGTTAGCATATTGCATAACAATTACATACTCTTTTGTTTCTGGGTTTTGTGTAACTCCATAAATTTTTAAAAAATTATAACCTAGAGACTTAGTATGTTTTCTGAACTGTAAAACAAAAATAAATTAAAACACAAATCAGATTAAAATATTGTTTAATTATAAAAAAAAACCAGATAATTTACCTCAGAAATAAACAATTCTTGTGCTTGATCACAACTTTTAAAATATGCAAGTGCAACAATTTCTGGAACAGCAATAATGTTGCCTTTATATTTGGCAGTATAAATTGTTCTGCAACTACCAGACCCAATCTCATTGAGTTCATCAAAGTCAACATACTGAATATATTTTAGATGTTGGTGACATTGTATAAATCCGTCCAATATTGCATGCATTTCACAGTAGAAAACTAAGCAATATGTTTGAGTAAATGGTACACAAGTGATTCCAATTATCCAAATATTATCAGTGGTTAATATATTTGGATATTTCCGAGTTAACTGTTTTGTAAAAATACAATTATTAAAACAGTCATTAAACACAACACGTCATTGATAAAATTGTATTATTTTTACATGTGAAATAATTTACCTGATCAAAATCAAGTGATTGGCTATCACCTATCTGCTTGAGTGTCACTTGTATCCATTTATTTGTCACTGGTTCTAACCAATATGCTACATGTGTGCAGCCATGGCGCAATGATGTCATCTGTTGTACGTCTGTCAATTGAGAATACTCTATCCATCGTATATAGCCATCATCTTCATGTTCGGTATTATTCCATGACTCCATAATAAATAAATCCAATGACTTGTTTCCAGTCGTCCAATCAGGAGGCCGTGGTGCTTTACAGCGATAACAGAATGCATCTATCTTAGATTCTAATTCCCGTGTACATGCCAGACATAATTCCCCTTCACATTTGTCTTTTATTAGATAGTACTTTTGTGCGGCTGCATTGTATGTGAATCCGATGATAATCCAAACATCAGTGGCAAGCATATCCGGATTCTCATCACATAACTAGTAAATAATGCCAAGTCAATAGTAATAGTTGTTTAAAACCAATTCAACAACATGACGCATGAAATAAATAGTTTACCTCAGCATAATATAAATCATGCGTCTCATCTGTTATCTCAAGTGTGATCAATTTAACCCAAGTAGTAGGTATACAATCCTGCACAAATAACGTACGTATTCCTTCATCAATACAAGCGAATGGAATCCATTCCAAATAGGCATCATTTGCAGAGTTTGTTTGTATTTGAGATTTCTTTATAAGCTCGTCGAGTTGCCTATTGTTGCTAGTCCATCCATCGGATAATTGTTTATGTCCACAGATGCACCACACAGGACTACACCGGAGTATTCCACAGGCTGCGCAGAATCCATATCGAGAATAGCAATGGTAAAAGAATAGATCAGCAATCATGTAATAATTACTGTCATACTCGGTAAAACCCTCTATTGCGCAGTTGCGAGTCTCAAGCCATATTTTGTATCTTCTGAATTGATTAACGCCAGTATTGTACTTTTGTGTTGGAATTGAGTATATTCTGGCAAACTCATTCACAAGTGCTGGGGTACATTCTTCGATGTTTCCAAGGCATAGTAGCATTATCCTCGTTACATGAACTCCAGAACCATCATCAAACGGGTAATTTTGAATGGCGAAGTAGACGTTGTCAATTTGAGTCGGTTTTATGTCGGCTATCTCCGAGTGAGGAACCCATCGTAGTTTATAGTGGTCACTTTCTAAGGAGGCTTGAACTAGGTCGTTAATTGCTGGATTCGGAACTAACGACATGTTTTGTTCGAGTGAAAGAATATTGGTGTTACATCACACATTTAGATCATTATTTATCCGCTGGGCTAATGAAAAGTTTGCACACAAATGAACCAATGGATTAGCGTCATCTGCACTAACGTAATATTAAATACATGCTGTTTAAATAGGCGAACGTATAACGAATGGACCGCAGTATTTTTATTTGTCATGGCTGCTTACGAAATAATATTTAGATTAGGAATACATTTGCAAAGTATCCGTAATTACGCGGTTCAATTTTCGTTTCATAGTTCTAGTACAACGATTTATAAATAGTAATGCGTAGCTAGAATTTTTCCGAGTTGAAAAGCTAAGCTAAACTTTATGCTCGGGTCTTTGTATATCGACGACGCTGATATAGATTTAGATTTACGTACGCTCAATTCTGTAACAGTTCGTTACATGACATGGCTTATATGTGAATTGTACTAATGTCGACAAAAACGAGCGTTAAGAGGTCTGAGAGCAGAGTTTCTTTAAAGAGATTATGATAAGACTAAATGATTTGGATGATAGAAATGCAAACAGGGGTGAGCGAGATTAATTTAAGGTACTTCAATCATTTCTTAACCTGCTTGAGATGTTGATTAATCTGAATTGTAGACGCCTTGTGGAATGCCATCAATCTTAACATTTTTCATCCAACCCTCGTGTCTTAACAGACATTAAAATGTTATATTCCTGCTGCTACTTTTCCTGCGTATCAATAGTACTCGTTATAAGATTTATGTCTATTTATTGACGGTTTCGAAACTATTACCATTAAAGTTAGTAACTTTCCATCTAACGTTACGATATAACATAAACAGTTACTGTACAAACCCTATTTTAACACAATTTTATCGCTATTGTATCCTATTTTATTCATAACGATAATAGTCTTTGTGTTATCAACATAAATGAACTCAAATAAAAGAAGGGTTGTCTATTACTATTGCTATAGGTAACTGTTTCGCAAGACCCTTACCATTAATAAAAAGTATTATTGATGTACGACAAAGTAGCATTAGCCGATAGCGTCAATAATAATATATCTTCGAATATTTGTTAATAAATTTTTATTATAATTTATTCCTGAATAAATACGTGTGCAAAACCTCTAATACTAAGTGGTTGAAACCTGTGTTGATGGCGGCATTTCATTTGACATTGATTCGCAACAAATGTATTCTTTCAGGTGACCATATAGTAGAGTTATAAATTGTAAACATCTAAACATTCTCGTTACAATATAGCTGTTTAATATACTAATACTGAAAGTCGATGCCTTTCTAATTTCCGAGTCTGTGGTAAGTTTGCATGTCATGGTAAATTCTGTTGACATGATGGGTCAATAGTGATATTGTTTTGAACAACATAATAGCACGATTGTATATGGTTTCCGGAGAAAAGATCCGCCGGGTCGAAAAATAGCACTGCACTGGAAGACAAATACTATCTTGCATTCTGTAAATAGAAATTAATTACTTAATTAATTGTATCAACATAAAGGGAGACTGATCCGTCTTCCCTTGATCAAAGTCCATGATTAACCAATCCCATAAAATTTGAATATTTAATTTTACGTTTACCATTCATTCAATGAGGTCCTGCTTCTAGCGAACCGATTAATTTAGTAGTCAGGCATGACGCATGGATCGTTATGTCATTGTAAAAACCGTCCTTTCCTAATCGCGCGTTGGGATATTCGTTAGCTGTATTACAGTTAGGGAGTCTGCATTTAGAAAAAAAAAAGTAATAATGGGGAAAGGTTAGAATTAACTATCGCGAGAAACTTTTATAAAGTTAGAATTAACAAATCTATTTACCACAGCATACTAAATTGCATCATCTAACTTGGGATGATTCGTATTACTATTGTAAAAGTCTGTACTGGGTTTTCTCCTGTGTATTTTGGCAAAATTGAGAGATAAAATTCTTCAGACATAGACAAAGGGGTTGCTTTTTTTTCTAATGCATGTACGAATGCAGTACTAATAATCACATGCCTAAAACGTCAGAGAGATGTGACAAATTACATCATCTTCAACTATAACTTGATATTGTCTGACATTTTGACAGATCTACGAATTTATCCATTATGCATGCACTTCTCCGCCAACCCCACTCACAACAAACAAAAGATACACCAAAAGACAAAGAACTGATATACAGTCACAAAGGAAAAAAGCTTAAATTAGACACATTAAAATCATCACACACACATATATATTCTTGAAATATTCAAATAGCCTACAAAAACATATCCGAAATGACCGAACAACCACACGACGTCGATAACAACTCTGACAATAATTCTGACAATGTGTTTAAATTTGCGCCAGATGCCCTTAGACCGACCTCTACCACGCCAAATGCTCAACAAATAACACCGTATCTTCATTTCGCATCACAAGACCTCGGGAAATTGTTCGCACAGCCATCGGCAAATGTAGAGACTCCTTCGCTCACCTCTCAAGAACAACCGAGCGAGCAACATTCACATTCTCCGCTGTTTCGCAAAATAGCAAGACCAATACCTCCGTCACTCAATACGAATTTTACTCCCGTGCTAAATAACAACTCAAACACAGGCTTTGCCATGAACAACAATAACATAAACAATTTTATCGGTATGACGTATTCTCCATCTGATATTCCAGAATCCTCTCATCGCCGAAGAGACAGCAATGTATCGGCAATGTCGATTCAAATGTACGACACTCCTGGCCATCAACGTCGTGATAGCAACGTATCTGCGATATCCATGCAACTTGACACTCCCACTTCATTGAGTGAGAACGAATCGGGCAACGAAGAAGACAACTCTGGTTTTACCATGAACGCTAACAGTGGCAATATGTATAATATCAGTACCAATAAAACGTCTTTTGTATTCCCGTTTCCGTTTATCCAGAAACCACTCTCACGTCCGGGAACACCCACAACAGCTCCATCCACTCCTCCAAAGTATCCACTTGCGTCACAAGTGATAAGATCAAATCTTTCTCTGGCCGGAATGCCACAGTTGATTAGAAGAAGCAGCATGAGCGATTTGAATGTTGAGACTTGTTCGTCGGGTGGTGGCATGTTTTCAGACTCGAGAAGCGAAAAGCCGTCACCTGTTCAGCGGCCCGTAAGAGCCAGAAGAGCTTCGTTATTGGTACGGTATCCAGCTTGTCTTTTGAAATCGTTCATTTTTATGTCAACATATACTAACTAATACCCAATAACACGCCACTAGTATTTACTGATAATGTCTTACATTCATTCTCAATAGCCGAAGACAAAATCATTCACACGTATCGCAAACGAATTGCAAGAAGAAGCTCGCCCGATAGAGGCAGAGATTAAGGGAGAATACAAGACCACCAAAGTACTCAAAAACGAACCTGAAAAAGTGCCTGAACTTAATCAAAGACATCCCGAGGTTGGTGACTTTTCTTTACAATGAGATGTCAACCCGTGTTATTCTAATAAACGAATTCTTTGATATTTAGGAATTGGTCACCAACTGGCTGAATTTAAGAGACGTACAATTTTCACCGCCTTACTCAAAATCGAATTCCGAGGTTGAAATGACGGTGATTAAATAATTATTTGCTGCAATGCGGGTTATTGTCAGTGTATATTAAACTTGTATATTTTTTATGTGTACCTGCCAGTATCGACAAGACACAACATCGCCCACGCAGTCTAGTATTGGTCCATGGCCGGTCAGTGGGCGAATAAAGCGAAAAGGTGAATGAAATTTATGATACATCAATCGCAAAGTGCAAATTTCATTATCAATTCACTCATAGTTCAAACGTCTAATTCAACATTCCTTTTGCTGACTGTTCTTTTTAGCTTCGGATGAATCACATTTTAACCCAAAGCGGCGTGCGGTATCCCCCAGTCACATAGGCAGTCCATCGACACTATCATCTCCAGTAGCCAATTCTCCTCCCTCGATAGCCGGCTCATCGGGATCAGCACCGTCCACTCCATCTCATAATATGTTCATGAAGGATTGGTTATATAAGAATTTTCATAATCATAGTAACTGCAATAGCGATGGAAACATGGGTGGCAGCAATAGTAGCAACGCTAATGTCAATGCCGAAACCAGCGTTAATGCCAGCGCAAGTGCAAACGTACGTGCTAATATGAACGTTGACAATGCCAACGCCAATGCCAATGCCAATGTCAATACCGACGCCAAGACTGAAGAAGACACTGAAAATATGGAACGTGACAATAATAATGTTGACGGCGATAACATAGATACCAATGAAGACGATGGTAATAGGAAAAACAATGCCGTCAACATTCATGATACGAATCGCAGGTTCAGCACGATGAGTTTGAACGAAGAATAGAGATCGTATTTATTTGTGCTTTTGAATTTGTATATTTATAATTGATTTATAAAGGATACTTGTAAATATCACCTAGATCAAGTAACGGTGATCCCGTTGGGGACAAACTTGAAAATATGATTTTGTATTATTACATCTATTAATGTTGCTGAATTTCACCACATACGAGAAAAGTTTAATTAATATAGATCCTTTCCATGACCCTCCGTTCACACACTATGATTTTGTAACCTCTCCTCACCTCTAAAAATAACATATGGCCATATTGAACGTTCATGCACTCTTGACATTCTTATGTCCGCTTTTTATCATTACGAGGGCGATAAAAGTAAATACCACAGTGGCCCCGATGAGGAGTAGAACTACGGGAATTTGTATAGCATATTTTCGATCGGGGAAGTATTCATGTAGAGGATGACCTTCATCTACAAATGGCTAAAAGATTATATGCGTTCCGATTTCGTTAAATCTTTCCTCGCAAAAGTCGAGCGAAATGAGTTTAATTCATTCGTTTTTTACCATTATCAAAGCCCATGTCGTGTAGTATAAAAATATAACCACAGAGGTTACTAACAGAGTTGCTCCAACTGCCTTGTCGTTTGCCTGTTTAGAAAAGCAACGAGTTAAAGCTTATCGAGTGCGTATGAGGAAATGCTAATACAAGCTATCTCGATCAATAATACCATTCTGACCAAATCAAGAGCGTAAAATAGAGAAAGGGAAACTGAGACACATGCGAAATCAATCACGTCTGACAATCACGTGTAAAGGCTAAATAAATGTTAAAGTGGATCAAGAAAAAAAGTTACCCGACCAGAAAACAAAAATGGCACAATCAGATTCTACTCCTACCGAAGTACCACCGGAATTCCCTCCTGATCTCAAATCTCCACCGCTGACAGATGTCGCATCACAAGACCCGCTTCCACCACCGTCACCGCCACCACCACTCTTTGGTTTCCGCACGCATAGTCGCGACTTTTACAGTGCATCTCGATCCTTTCCGCCACGCTGGGATGAATTCTGTGTGCAATGGTGCAAGCAGATGAATAGTCGACGCGAGGCTGGTCAAGGCGCAGTGTGTAGAATGGCATGTTTGAGAAGGAAAAAGAGGGAAGACAACGTAAGCAAGGCACCGGCGGATATCGATGGCGTCGAAACGGTGCATAATGTGGAAAAGACCGTCGAAATGAATAAGAATGAGGTGGAAAAGAATGAAGTTAAACCCAATGAGAGTAAATGGAACCCGCTTGATGGGTATTACTTTTATTATGTAAAGGGTGTTGACAAGTGCGTTAGGCATACTGAAGGTATGTGAGGGAATGGAGGGGAGGTTGGGGGGAGGGCGTTTTGGTCGGCTCTAAACCAGACATTCAAATCGCGTCCGATCGGAATGTGTTAGGCGTGTTAAGTAATGGCTTTGTTCTTTTTTTTTTTTTTTGTAGGAATGAATTCATATGAAAAGTTACCGACTGATAATTTGGAGACAGAGTAAGCTTTGTTATGGCCATCATTTGTCGATTTGCATTGTCTTTTGAAACGCATATATTAACTCGAAACAGTTCCGCTGCAGAAGAATACGAGATAGATCTGGGTGAAAAGTTGGAGATGACAAAATCTGAAAGTACGTCGCATTTTCGTTAGACTAGCGAAAACTCAATTAAGTCTGTCAGCTGTGACTGTAATCTTGCACTTTGCTCCCGATTTCCTAACAAATTAATCTCTCTTTTTTTTCTTTTCGTTCATAGCGACGAGAATCATAAAACGAGCATTCACTCCCGGCTACCACTTAACCAAACGTTATATTGAATCCTTCACGGACGGAACACAAGCTGCATTCTTTCGTAAATTCACCGAGAGCGTACAGCGTCTCGATGCGGTTCATCTGGTCGGGGATAATGCGAAAAAGGCCTGGGATGTTTGGTTTGGAGGTGAGGGAAATGGGGAAGGCGGGGTCGAAAATAATGACGGAGAAAAGGGCAAAAAGGATAAGAATGCGAAGAATGATAATCGAGGCGATGACGAAAAGGGATAGAGAAAATCGACGCTTGCTGACACTGAGATGTCGGAAACAATTGGGGAAAAGAATGGTATGTTGACATTTCGTGGATGGACGAGATTATAGGTGCTCGAAATGAAAGAAAATCACTTCATTTCTTTGCATAGCTATCGAATTGCCAGTACTTGCCAACATGATTAGCAACGAACGCACACCAATTTGAAATAATAGCTTCATCAGTGAACGAAGATTGTCATTTTGATCAGTGTATTTCTGTATTTAGGGCACAGAATATTATTGCATTGTAGTGGTATTTGTAGTGTAGATTCAAAAAACATAGCACTATTAATATCTGGAACGCGAACCAGAACTAAAACTATCCTTGTCATTATGCAAATAAAAACCAACAGATTAATAAAGATTATCCGGCAAATAAGCTCTTGCAAATGATTATAGAAATGGTCAAAAATTATATATACTCATATTCGTTTTGCAGATTGTATGCTCGGGTCCATTCTCTTGTGTAAAAAAAAACGTATCACGTATTTCGCATTTACCATGATACCCATTGTGGTCTTAGTTGTTTAATCGCATAAGCGAATTCATCTATTTCATGCTGACAATCACTTTGTTCTTGCAATTGATGAGCCTTGGGCAACCATTCTCGTATCTTTTTCTGCCTCGTTTTGTGTGAGGGATGAGTGCTGAGGAATTGTGGAGGAGACTGCCGTTGTAAACGATCCATCCTTTCCCAAAGACGCGTTGCTTCCGCAGGATCATAACATGCCTGAGCCATTAGATAAAGACCAATTTCGTCGGCTTCCACTTCCATCTTGCGCGAAAATGGCATCCTGAGTGAAAAAATGAGTGAGTGAGTGAAGGAGCGAGACGAGTTAAGAACAATATATTGGTAGAAATGTTCTTATTTACAGAATTCCAATTTCCAACAAAAGCCTGTTTAAAAGACTGGGATCAATAAAGATGCTGGACAATATCTGAATCCATAGCAAGATCTTTACATATGAGAGTTTTTCAGCATTGTGTCTAGCAACCTGATGAGCAATCTACGATATAATAAAAAAGTGTAGTTAATGTCAACACCTTCCCCTTTCCATCTCCATTTCGTCCGCGGACTGATTTAGCATCTGACCTCATGTCCAAGTACAGTAGCTAATCCATCTTCATTCTGAGTGACCGGTAATATACCAGTAAACACAAACACCTTGCCACCTGGAAGAACAAACGCATTCTTTTCATCTGAAGCAATCACATGAAATTGCCAGTTAAGATCTGTAAATAAAAAGGGAATGGGAAAGAAGGAAAGAGGGGGAGAGAGGGGGAGAGAGGGGGAGAGAGGGGAGGGAGAGAAAGGGCGTTTATATCGTTTAAATGAGCCAAAAAAATTAATTAAATCATGCTTATTAACTACGGGACACGTTGCCACCGCCTTTGAATATCAATTATACAAGACGATCAATTGTTTTTTTATATCGTCATGCCTATATATCAATAGAAATACAAACGTTGAATCGGCGAAACTTTTATAATCTTTTCAGCCACTTTCTTGACAATTTTTGAATCAGGATGCCACGCCGGTAATATCCTATGCCCGAATTTGTGCATGACCTCTTTATACGCCTGCTGAGCCATGTATTCTTCCTGTTTGGACGACACGCTCATGAACCGTCTTCTCCCGGTTATGGGAACATCCTCGAGGTGAGATACGTAGTAGTACCCGAAAAATCCGCCAAACACGCCAACGTACATCCAAAAGATGCGTTTGCGGTATATCGGAACGGCTGATGAAAATCGTTCGTATCCTGAATATGGCGGAAGGCGTGATCGTGATGGTGGTGGTGGAGGTCTAAGCGTGTAGAGTGATCGAGTGGACGTGGTAGGGGTGGTGGAGGAGGAGGAGGTTGTGGATGGAGCAGTACGAGCGATAACCGATACGCATTTTGAGAATCTCGTTTGTGGATAATGATAGAGTGATGATGATAATGCGGGAGAGGCACGAGACAACGAGGTTGAGAATGCTCGCGGGAAGGGTGGTGATTGAGTGAACGGTATCGCGTTGGTTGCTCGGCGGGCGATTGTTAATACTACGGATGATAATGATGATGATGATACTGTAGTCGTTATTGTCCTTGCCGTCGCTATTGTTGCTATAGTTGTCGTTGTCCTTGCCGTCGCTATTGTCGCTGTCGTTGTCCTTGTCTTTATAGATGGAACTGTATATTGTGAATACGATTTGATATGATATGCATTTCTCCTTATGCCATTTGTGAAGCGGAAAGCAAAAGCCATGATTTACACATTTTAAGCAAACCCCCTTCCAAATTATTTTTAGTGCCTAGGCCTCCATCCTGGTAAAAAAAAAAGGATATGGAAATAAAAACATGCGCTGCCGTTGATCATCAGGTTTGGTTCCCATAATAGTTGGTATCGAAATTTGCTATTTAAGGTTATCAACACGTGCATACCAAGAGGGAATTCTCTGTCTTGAGAATGTTGGTAACGTACATTCATCTACGAGAAGCTAGCTAGCGATGACTGCCTGGTGTTGTTTGTATGATTCGCAACAAGGTAGGCCACTGGTCACCCAATTTAACATAGCATCAGCATCTAAAGGTTAATTTTACAAGATTTATCTCTCAATTTAATAAATATATATATGCTCTGCTTCCAGTCCATTACAAAACGGATCCAGATTAGAGCAAATCTATAAGATACATAACAGAAAAAGCAAGTTTGAAAGCTAATTCTTGGATAAAACCGAAAGCTACAAGTAATTAATCCTTTTATAACTAAACTGCGATGGTGGGTTTCAAATCTATTGTAAGGTAGCAATCTGCAAACTTGGACCTTGTAAGTCACTGCTAGGACACAGGTTACTTCTAATGAAGGAAAAAAAAGCTAACATTCCAGTATACCTGTTGATTTACGATGAGAGAGAGAGAGATGGGGGGTAGGGGGTGGATTGAAAGCGTAAAACCTAAATTAGATAAGCTGTTGTATTTGTTATTACAATTATATAAGAAGATTACATCTTTTTTGATTTTCTAAACTCCATTGTTCAATAAAAAGCTTCAGAACTGACATCTGATTTGTCAACATCCTATAGATGCGGTAGTGTTCTGGTTCGACGGCGGCGCAAGCGAACATTGTTTCAATACGTCTCGCATGTACGGCTCTCCAATCATCTTTACTGCCTCTTCGTAAGCGAACTAAGTAACGTTGAATAAAGGGTATTCGAAACGGTTAGTACAGCACACAACTTTCACCCAACGCAACGCAAATTTATCCCATCTACTTTGACAGATATCTATTTACCCATGCTCTGTTTCTCTCTTGCATTTCAGGCCACTTGTCTTCTACAGAATCAACCTCCATTTCGAAAAAGAGAAACATCTTTTTTGGACAACCGGTGGCGTTGTTTATTGTGAGGGAATCCCATTGTCCTAGGAAATGTGTTACTCTTCCTTTTGCCCCGGCTGCCAATAATGACGGACGGAAAAGAAAAACGAAAGACGATAAGAAGGATGACAAATTGAACGAGTATTTCGATAGAGTAATCGGGACTATGTCCCCCCTCAGTGACGGAGGTTGTACCGTACCTTCTTCATAAGTCTCTCTCACCGCTGCTTCTTGTTGCGATTCGTCATTTTCCCAACCACCCTTTGGCTATTCAATTAAAGGATATAAATATATGCTTTAATATTAGTTCGACTGCATGCACAAGATTAAGAAATTAAATTAATTTTTCATTTGAAATTCAAACATATACTTTCTGGGCTCCTTAAAAATCTTTATCCCAACCCCCTTAAAACAATCTTAATTACAAACGCTTACCAACACCCAACCACTCTTCTTTCGTTGAGTTACTAGTAAGACTTGTCTTGTTTGCTTGTTTACTGGCACACATCCCGCAACCTAGATAAATGAACGATTTATTCCGATCAATGGAACGGTTTCATCACTGAAAAAAAGTTGGAATTTTTCCACTACCTGCCGTGTCTTTCCTTCGGTATATCTTTGTTTTTCTCTACCTGTTCTCGCTTCCATTAGAATTACAGCAACGTCACGCATTTATCGGTGGCAATTAACGAGATTAATGGAGTAGACTCTTCCGGTCTGAAAGAAAAAAAGAGTGGTTTAATATTTATCGCCATGTTTCAGTAACACAATATGCAAGGACATTGCATTGCGTGGCTGCTGTGGCTAAAAGTACGGCGAATAGAAAGTAACCAAATAAAGAAATATACATTGTTCTTTCGACACGATTGTAGAATTCGGAGAAACAAACGATGTTTAAAAATGCAAGGATTTTCGATAAAAAATGATAATAATAAGAATGGACATATTTATAGCACAGCCCAATAGATGTCGGGTTGTGAGAAACATGTTGTACGGCAGAGCCCGATTGAGGAGAATGCCGAGATAATTACCAAATATGTATATTGTGTGCTGTTCCGTATCAAAAGTCACACAGATCTTTACGAATGTCGGTCGGAATATTATTCGTTATTGGACGATTTTGTATATTGTAATAAGAACGCTTTTTAAGACTTATGCTACAAGTCGGGATATGGCAATCGGTGGTTACCCGGCGGAATCCATTTTATTCAAGACGCACCCGCAGACTATGTTAAACAAAAATAACCAATCATTACTATTACGGTTATGTCTGTAGATAATAATTATACCGATATAGATGTAGATTAGAATGTTACAGTCTTTGTTTTCTGTTGATTGGACCTGTGACGAACAGGTGTCGAAAAACTAGTTAATTATATTTAAGATAAATAATGTAAATACAATAACAAACGGAAGTGTGTGCGACGTAAACAATTTACATGTTACCGTTACGCCACCTTTCAGGAAAAATTCTTGCTAAAAAGCCGAAATGCCAAACTTTTTGCTGATGCAGCGTAAAGCAACTCAATAGCGTTACTTACTATTTAAAACAACTTGCGCAGCAATTAAAATATGCGCCCCTGACAATACACAAACAATGCTGGCACTCTGCAAATAAGTCGATCAACGCCCAAGGTTTGCTGTGCAAAATGAATTAATACATGCATAGATGTGTGGAAACAAGGAATTCGCATACTAATACGGAATACAGATGTTTACAGTACAGTATTGCTTTGTCTAAACCTGATATTAGTAACAAGCAGTAAAACATTGTATCATTGCATATCGATTCAAAGCGCAGTATATTGTGCAGTTTGAATTTGATCAACAGGCGCCATGTACGTATGTCATAGCCTCAATATCACCATTCTGCGTCTCATATAAAAACCAAATCTTATAGTAATAACAAAAGTAAAGTAGTAAATAAATATTATATTATAATTTAGAGGTATTATTATTGGGTGTAAAAACGTTTAACCCTGTAAAAACTGCGTAAATTATGGGTAACATTATAATATTTTATCATATTAATACATGTTTCTTTTTCTTATCTCCTGGTCCAATAAAGCCGCAATATTTATAATTCTTTATCTGGGTTTATATAATTATCTCAAGATTCCAAAATAGTTACACGAACGCCACTGCGAATATGCATGCTGATCTAGAAATCTCCATAAAGCACGAAATATATTATCGCCATACGATGGATTACATCCATGTTATTAAATAAGGAATAATACTGGACAAAGCCAAACGCCCATTGAATGTAATCTCACTCTTTAGCTAGTGAATCGAACTCAACAACGACGATTTGTACAAGCAAGAACTTCAATCGAACTAGCTATTGTCAGACTCTGTAATTGGTCGATTGTTATCCAAAAATTTACAGTCAATAGAATGTTCGTTTTTTATGTAATTGGCTTATGCACTGGTCCTCACGAAAAATCTCAACTTGTTAATCGACTGAATTAAATTTCGTGTTATATTTTTGACACAATTTCAATTTTTATTATAATTAACTGTATATTGGTAACAGCAGTTTTCGTGATACAATATTGCGTTATACAGTTGCACTTGTTGGATAAAAGTGATATAATAATACTAAATATTTAATTCAATTTTATTCTAAAAATGCAATACCACTATTATTAATTATCGTTACTCACTATATTTGTATCAACAGTCTCGTTGCTCTTGTTTCCGTCAATAGAAGGTAAAGTCTATTAAAGATTTGCCACAAATTGTTTAGAATTAATTCCATGCTACTGTGGTCGCCATATGCTACTCAAAGTGCCCAAAGTCACACCTATGCTAACCACCAATCACAAAGGAAGGGGGTGGAATGGGCAAAGGCTCACCTTAACAATGACTGGAAATGGACATTATTTTCGAACGAGACGGCTTTTCAGCTCTTCGATCCCATGCCAAAAGACTGAACAAAAATAATGGCATGGGGTGGTTTCTCTGTCAAAAGAAAGCAAGTTTGTTTTGTTCTCGACAAATAAATCTTACGTAAATATTATCAGCAGGCATGTCCCAGAGATTAATAGTATGCTTGGAAATGATTGGCGCGACAATGATTCCAAGCATACTAGTCGAATAGCCTACTTTCAAGAAAATGTTCTGGTGATGTTGGAATGGTCGTCTAATTTGACTATGTGTTTATTTTTATTCGCGGTCAGAAACCATATCAAGTGCTTATAATTATTTCTTAAGTTTATGGAGTGACACGAAACCCAAACAGAAGATACAGGCAGATAATGCAAGTGGATCAAATCCAATCGTGCGAGGTGTTTCACCCTTTATTGCCCCTACAGAATATGTAAATAGATAAAAATAGCTTAAATTGGGCTTTAGCGATCACCTTGCTATGAATAAAAGTTCCTCGCAATCCACCCTTTATTGCACCGGACGTCTTCCACACTTACAAATTCACTCAGAAACAGACGTGTATACTTTTTGGTATTGTTATGTATGTGATGACCACCTTTTAGAAATAAGCAATTCGATAGAAGTTTAGTATGCGACATTATGGGTGGACTATGATCATCTCGATGCCTGATTCAGCGCGAGAAGAATACAAGAGACTTGCCCAGTGGTGTTGTGAGGCTGATCCCGACGAACGCCCAGGTGCAGCGACAATCTGGTCTAATATTTTCGATCTTAAACCACCTTATTTGTCAGGACGCTTCTAACAGTAATGCGTGGAATGTTCTTTACCCAATGTACAACCCTTATCACGTCTCGAGAAGGAGGGTAAATACTCTGAGATTGCCCAAACCAAGATTTGGATTCACGTGCATGTATGACGGCAGCAATTGAATTGGGTTTCGCGATTATGTTACCGTTGTATTAGATGAAGTCAATTTACATATTGCCCTCGACTATTGTCTTGTCATTTTAGTGACTCAAATTTTAATAAAACGTCTTTATTCAAATACTACAATATGTCCTAATGAGTTAATAAGATTCCGACGTCGATGTGGGATGAAGGATGGATTCCAGTATTTTAAATATCGAGAACCAACAAATTAATTTTATTTCAGTATAATTAGCTTGAACAGTTTAGGCAAAGACGTTTTGCAACGGAAATAGTATTATTGCTAGGGTAATTAACTTGTCCTCGCAGAGGCTCTGGGCTTAACTAGGAGCGTCACTTTGTTGTATCACACATTTGTTTACCGTAGAGTCAGACTCATTAACACGGTTACGATATCGGGTTTCGATATTGATATAAATAGTAAATCATTGTATGATTTGGGCAGATTGTTAGCTGGTATTAATCTATATGTTATAATATTGATATTGACTGTTATCTGTTTATCGGTTCTGCGAAATCTATATATATCAAATATCATGCATTATTGCTCTTACGAGAACTTTAAATTGTACGAAAATTGAAAAAAATATCGATTTTTTGCGAGTTATGTAGAATCGCTTTCTCCTATGCAGTTACCGATTTACGTAATGCATTCCTGATCAATTGAACCCTTGTTATTCATGTGTCTATAGATAGTATTATTGGGTTTGTTTATTCGAGGCGCAAACGGAACTCTTTTCTTCTTTTTGTAGAATAGTGGTATAATTCAAATTTGCCTGCCAACCGTTGTACGTCGTCCATTATGTAATCATTTGACAGCGATATGCTTCAAGCAGAATGACAAGCTCTACTTGCTTCATATCTATAATGATGTCATCGCTTGTCTGGATCTTTCATTATTCTTGAAGGTATATACCTTTTTCGTATTAGGGCTAAGTATTTTGTGGGGCGCAAATCTCCAAGGAAAATAAGCAACGCCCGAACATAATCAACACCTGTTTTACATAAGTTCCGAAAATAAACAACACTTCAGAATAAATAATTTACCTGGTTATTTTATTACAAGTTCTTTTAAGATTTTTAATATTTTGTTTCTAATTGTTATATAGGTCACTGCAAGACCCTGTTTTCTTTTTTATAGTCAAGCTTTTCTCTGCTTCTGGAGATAAGGCTTTTCTACCAGAACCACTGCTTACTTTTCTCTTTTGTTTCGCTTGTCTATTTAAACTTTCTCTTACCCATCGACTTAACATACTACAATGTCAAAGCGTCTTGCTACTTGGTTATTGCCATGGTTTTTGCATAGTAATAGTAATAGGCAATAACCTCCTTTTCACGTGAGACTGAGTATGAATTTCGTGTTCGTTTTACTAATTGGGTCTTACGTTTAATAATGTTAAAAACGCTTCTCTGTTTTGTCATTGTATAGAAGAATGGATGTAGATTTAGCGTATGAAATTCTATCAACATGAATCATGATTCATGTTGATAAAACTTCATTTTGTTGCGGTATTTTGTGTTACGCTATCACATGTATCGAAAACAAAGTCGTCGGTTCAGTGGATAATGTTACATACTGTGTGTTGAAATACAGTTATTGAGTTATTACAAATAACACGAATACCTTAATACGAATAGCTCATTTGTCTTTCATAATCGAACGGAAGGGTAACAAAATGACTATTAATATCAAAATGCAATGCAAACATGTCGTTTTGTTAGCATCTTGACACAAATTTGGTCTCACAATGAACGGAAATGTAACCCAGCTTCCTTGTATATCGTGATGAGACATCCATATTTTCAATGGTGTATTATTAAGTGATCCAAATTTTCTGCAAAGCACTCTATT